TGCCTCCTGGTTTCACAAAGCAGCAGGCAAAACCAGTGATGCCAGTTCCAAACCGGATTCTCAGAGTTTGGGCAATGTTTTATCTTTTTTTAATTCTGAGGCACCAGATGTTGATGAGGGAGGGAGCAGGAAATCCCACTCTATAACCCTGTTACCTAATTCAGGTTGTTACTGTTAGAGACCTTAGGGAAATCCATACATCATCTTTCTAATATTAGCAAGAGATACCATGCCAGAGAAAAGGATGCTGGAAATACAAAAGGACAGGATGAAGAAGCGGGGAGGAGCATGCTCACAGAGGCCTGAAGCTATCTGCTTTCCAAACAAACAAAAAAAAAAAACCAAACAAAATCATCATGCGAGTGACTTGTTGGGGGCATGTAAGACCAGTTCACAGATGAGTGCCTCTGTAGGAGATGTAGCTTAATCCTTTAGAAGGGCAGTTGTATTGTACTCCAGCAGTGTGCTGGACAGTACAGACTCAAAATCCCCAACAAAAAGGGAGTTAATGGCCTCAAACAGCTTCATGCCAGGGGTTGTGAATGACAGCACTCAGGCTTTTAAAAAGCAGAAGATACAGTATTAGAATCCTAAAAGAATACACAGGTTTGGCATTAAAAGGATGGCATAAATATTTTGAAATGGCTCCTGGGTTATGGACAGAGAACACTGTAAAACAATCTCTTTACCTTTAGAAGAAAATACATGCTCATTGAAAAACTGCTGGATTGGGAAAAAGTGATTTCCTTGCAGTGTTAGAGCCCCAAAGCCTAGGTAGCAATTTTTCATCATTTTGTTAATTTTCCCTTATATGACAAGTATGCTACTAATATGATTGTTCTGTTTAAAAACTAATACCACTATTAATATGTTACAGTGATAAATTACTAACAATAATCTATCACGAAGGAAAAATAGTGACATAATTAATGCAGTGTTACTATTGTGCAATAGCAATTTGTTAACTTGGTGCAAAGCACTCAAAGAAAACTTTATTTTTCATATTTTCTTCCATAATTGCTTTTACCTGCATTTACAGTGGAAAGATCTGCTTGCAAAAAAAGAAACTCAGCACCTGGGTCTTTTCTTTTTGGTCCAGTGGATGCATGCTCTTAGACTGACAGATTTAATCTCAACCTTATTTTAGGATCTGGATGTTACCTTTCTAGGCAACAGACTTTTACTGCTGTTTTTTAAGATCTTTTTTTCTACTCCTTTGTACAACAGTGCAGCTTATTACATAGCTCTCACATTGCAACCATTTTATGACTAGGGGATACATTGTCATATTGCATTGATTAAAATACTCCCAGTCTACACATCACTGTGTTTTTCTACATGCACATTTCAAATGCAATCTCAGAGAAGGTAAACTAATACAGAAAACAGCTTTGCAAAGGAACTAGTTACGTTAGCATAAATACTTAACCCTCAAATGAGAAGAATGGAGGAAAATGTGCATATTCCCTTTATTTTAGCCTCTTTAGTTTTAAAAACCTGTAACACTCAAATTTTGTCTGCAAAATACCCTTTAAAGTGCCCATTTCCAGAATGAGATATTACATACACTAGATCATAAAGATACTCAAGTATGGTCATATTATTACAGGTCTGCACTTTCTCCTATGATCGTTACGCCACAACCCATCCTTCTACTTACATCCCCATTCAGGCCAGTAAGGAGTTCCCTCCTTACGATCAACCAACCTTCCCTAAAGCACGCAGTAAGCATCCTGCTGACTACACAGGTAAGAGGCACGCTCAGTATTTACTCAGGCAAGAATCTGCCTCATTTTGGACTCCTTGCTCTCGAGACAGGGACTCCATTTTCCAGCAGTACTACGGGATCCTCTAGACTTGTGCTCATTACATGGTAGTGTGCTGCAATAGCTAATTATAAAATAAATCATTAACAGCTCTGTAAAGTGAGAGGAAATACTATCATGCTAGTCTGGTATGATTTTCCATAACTTTCCACGGCTGTGAATTACTGAGAAGCAAGAGGTTGGAAAATGATGGCCAGTCTGACTGGTGACATACTGCCTCTAACCAGCAGTTATTGAAAGACTATAGGATCTATCAGAGGATCTACTTTATCACATATGCATATGTTGTGATGAAAAATATTATCTTAGTTACATTTGTTAGATATTACCAGTAGCTCTGCCATGTTCTGTGCTGGGCACTGTAGGAAAAAAGTCAAATAATAAAAATCCTGAAGGAAACAAACGTTTGACTCGGTAGAAACATTTCTCGAGCAATTACTCAGCTGGACTTATACAATGGAATTCATGTTAGATGAAGTACTGCATTTGTTTTTTAAATTGATGAATAGAAAAAGGAAATTTGAGCTATCCAATGTAATCTAGTTTAATGAAAATCTGCTTGTCATTCTCTCTTCTTTGTAGCTGTGGAGGCCAACACAGCAATGCCTGAATATTCACAAAAATTAGTAACACAAAATAAACAAATTTGTGCAAAACTTATTTTTCAAAGCATAACAAAGACTTTTGCCCTCTTTAAGATCACATGAAAATTGGTTTCACTGTTCAGTGAGCCATATCTAAGAACGCAATAAAAATACCCTTGTGCATCCACAATGCCTAATTTTCACAAAGTTTTAAGCTGAAATAATTCATTTTTAAAGGATTGTAAAGCAACACCTTTCTAAAGTCATGTCTCAAATGCTCTGGCATGTCCCTTTGAAAATCTAGTGGAATGAAGACAAGATCTGAAATCAGTACAGCGTGATGCCACCATTTGGAACCAAAACAAAATTATTTCTATCTTCACTCTCATTTAAAAAAAAAAAAAAAAAAAAAAAGCCTAAGAGCTGAGTATAGATTAAATATAGTAATTCAAATCTGGCTGAGAAGCTGCGAACTTTTATGCCAAGTTCTAGCCTGAAATGAATTTCAATGGCCACAAGTATAAATTCCACCAAGGGGAGATTGCAATGAAATCCTGGCAGAGAAATAAAAATGGAATCATAAGCAACTAGCATAACCTTTAAGAGGGAAGAGGAGAAAGCACAAACTAGGAAATATTTTCAAACTTCTGTTTAAAAGAACAAGAAAAAAGTAGGACAGCAGGGCTGGGGGTCACTGTTCAAAACCAAGTGATGGTGTTTGTTTTGGCACGTGAAATACGGGGGTGATGTCAAACTCTGAGGGGTGGCCGGAGAGTTGCCAAGCTCTTCAGAGCAACTCCAAGGCCCGCGTGGCAATTCGTCTGCTCTGACTGACTAATGGCCAGGACCTGATCAGCTTCCCTATTGTGAAACAGGTTACAAATAACTGTGCAGTTCTGAAATGGTAACTCGTAAAGCAACCCTGTATTCTTACTGACTGAACGAGTCCGTGCCAGTATAACATATATGTATACTCCTTTTTTGTTATTTTTCTCTGTGTTAATGCTACAGAAAGAGAGATCCTTATCCCAAGAACTAACAGTGGCTTTTCAGGGGATTAGTGAGACTTAGCAGAGGTTTGGGGGTCCAAACTGGTGATCCCTTTGCAGAGTGAGGACCTCTGCCAGAGGCAGGCACAATAGTTAAGGCACAATGATGCACAAGTCATCAGTTAATTTTCAAAGCAGAGGTGGTTTGCTACAGGAACGGCGATCATTATCGTACTAACAGTCTCGGGGGAAAATATATTGGGAACCTGTTTGATGATTGGCATGCTGTCACTAAGCATTTTCTCTTCACTGTCTAACAATGTAAGTAAATCACCTTATTTTTCTATGTAATAATTTTTAAAATTGTGGTATTGCTCTTTCTACACATCATCAGCAAAGGTAACTCTTGAAATGGTGTACGTTTTGTAGCATTTGAAGACCCCCTAGAAATGACTGATGGTTAAGCAGGTAGTCAGGGGAGAGAGGGAGGCAGTGCTCTTCCATAACTTAGAAAGTAACAAAATACAACCCAGGCAGAATTTCTAGTCTTTGACGCAATTCCTGAGTGACTTGGTGCCTCAAACTCCTCAAATGCCCTGTAGGCCCTTCCCCGGGGGGGGCTGCCACTCTCGGCCCCACGACTCGGCCTCCAGCATCCTCCCAGGGCACTTCCACAGGAGTCCCAGGAAGCTGCGATCGATCGGGTGGGATCAGGTCTGTGAAAAGGGATTTATGGCCATTGATGAAGTGCACTCAAGTCTTTTTTTGGGTTGTACTGGCATGGGAAATAGTCTCCTATTTACAAAGGAGAAACTTGCCTTCAAGGTAGGAATGCAAATGAAGCCTTTTGCAGTCCTGCTAATGCCTCCTGTAAATCTCCTGTAACAAAATGGTAACTCTATTTCCTGGTGGGGAATTCCCGCATAATAATAATACTAGTTAACAACAACAAGCTTGTTTTCATGTCAAGCTTGAATTTTCAGGAAATGCAGTGAAAAAACTTAAATCTGGAAGTTTCCATCCATCTCTTCCCCCTCCCCTCCCCAATGCGCTGCTACCTTCCCGCTGGATGGGGCAAGGAGTTCGGGCAAGCCTGCCTTTTCCAGGCAAGTGGGGGGCTGCGGCGGGGCGCCCCCCCGCCCCGCCCCGGGCAGCCGCCCCCCCGGGCCCAGCCTCCCGCCGGCCCCGGCACCTCCAGCCTCGGCTGCGGCGAGGAAGAAACCTCGAAACCAGCGGGAACAACTTCCTCTCCTTAATGCCTCCCATCGCCCCCCCCCCCCCCATCCCCCCCATATGTATGTATTTATACATAAATATATATACATAAATATTTGTAAAAGCAGCAGTTGTTAAATGCAGCTACTAATAACAAACCTTTTTTTTTTAAAAAAAAAAAAACTAAACAAAAAAAAAAAAAAAAAAAACGAAACAAAACAAACACCCCACACAAGCCATAATGATGATGATGATGACGGGAGGGGGGGGAAATAAATAAATAAAAGCGAGCGAGAGTCGGCGACGGAGAGGGAGGCAGGTTCAATTATCTAAACAAAGAAATCATGGCGGAGTGTTTACATTTGGCAGCCCAAAGCCCGTTGGATTACGGAACCCCCCCCAAAGCCGAGCGGCCCCCCCCGGCCCCCCGCAGTAGCGGCTTGCCGGAGCCCGCCCGCCGACACCTCGCCGCGGCCCGGGTAAGTGCGGAGCTTGCGGCGGCCGGACCCGCGCCCCAGCCCTCCCCGGGCGGGGGCCGAGCCGGCTCCCCCCGCCCGGTGCCGTGCCGTGTGTGTGTGTGTCTGTGTGTGTCTGTGTCGCGGGGGGGGTGGGGAGATAAGGCGCGGAGCGGGGGGGACACAGGGGCTGTAGGCGCTGCCCCCGGGCTCGCCGCGCCGGGCAGGGGCGGCCGCGCTCCGTCCCCGCGGCCGCGGTGCCGCCTCCCCGCCCCGGGGTCACGGCGCCCGGCGCTGACTGGCGGCTCCGCCCCCGCGGCCGGCCCCGCCGCGCCCCCCGCCCGCCCGCCCGCCCGCCCGCCCGCTGCCGCCGGGCCCCGGCAGCTGCCCGGCCCGGGAGACGCAGCGGGGGGGGGACGGGGACTCTGCCGCTGGCCGTGCCCGTTCGCGATGCTCCGGTCCTGGGGAGCGAGAGGCCCCGGCATGGGCGGCGGTGGGAGGAAAGGAGCCGAGGGCGGAGGGGGCTGAATGCGGCTCCTGCGCCCCGTGTCCGAGAGCCGCAGCGCAGAGCGAGCGTGGGGGACCAGAGGAGGCGGTCGGGAGCTGGCAGCAGCACCCAGACCCTCGCCCCAAAACACCCTCTCCCCCAAGCACTCGAGCTGCCAGGTGCCCTTGCCCCAAAATGCCCTCTCCCCCAAATGCTTCCGCTGTGCAGACGCTTTTAGCCCTAAATGCTTTTGCTCCCGAGTGCCTGTAGCCTCAAAAACCCTCAAGCATCCTTGCCTCCAAAAGCCCTTGCTCCCGAACATCCTTGCCTCCAGTGCTTTTGTTCAGTCTCCCTCTCTCCCAAATGCCCTCGCTTCCAAACAGCTTCACCCCCAAACAGCATCACCCCCAGTCTTTTCGCATCAAAACAACACTTTCCGTCCCCCTCCCCTTTTGCCCCCAACCTCCCTTCGACGAAGTAGCAGGTTTAGCTGCTCTTGGTGTTCCTCAAAACCGCACCCCCCACACCCAGTGGGCCCTAAGGAACAGCCAGAAAGGCGCTTGGGGCCCTCTCCCTGCCAACAAGCAGCCCCCAGACTGCTGATATGATGCTGGGCTCCACCCCGGGGCACTGCTGTGAAATGACGAAATGACTCTCAAGCCGCCTGCAAGCGTTGCTCCCATGCGTCCATCAAAAAGTCCCCTGGCCCCAGACACATCTCAGTGCTTGAAAGCTGTAAAACTAATTTGGCACCTCTGCCCTCCTGCATCTGGCTAACAGGCAGTGCCGCCCCCTGGTTCTGTGCTACGAACACACGGGCTGTGTGTCCTCCTGAACCGCACTTAGCCCCGTATCAGAGCGCTGGGGAGGTGGCAACACGCGTGTATTGCTCCCAGCGTTTTGCAGGCTATCTTGTCAGGGCAGAGGCTGGGAGCAGAAGGACCAGCACCATGAGTACTGTGGTAGTAGGACATGGGGGCTGGGGAAGGCCGTCGGCTGGTTCCACACTTTTTCTGACACCGTGCTGAATCTACCTGTACATCTGGGGCTGTGTTCCCACATGTCCCAAATTCAGAGTGTGTTGAGCTATGTGAGACCGAGAGAGGTAGAAAAGATACATCCATCTTTATTTCTCTTTGAACTGTTTGACTTTAAAAGTTTGTGGAGGTCACATTCACAAATGAAAGAAAAATCCTTGATATTATAGAGTTATGAGGCACTGTAAACAAAAAGGGTGTTGGGACTCTGAGAGATTGAGACATCCACTCTTCATGCTTGTCGATGGCCCTTCCCAAGGCAGTGGGTTTTACAACCATTTACTGCTGTGATGTTGAGAAGCCCGTGTTCGTATCAACATGGTCTTGGTGGGCTAAAACAATGAGGCAAATAGAAATGTGGAGATGCATATGGGTGCCACTGCTGGGTGTGCTTGTGCAGTGACTGTGGGTTTGATACTCGGGAGTGGTTGTGGCTTTTGCTGGGTCTGTGGGAGCACACGGTGCAGTGCCAGAGCGTCGCAGTGGCCTGCAAGGGATAGCTGTTGCACAAGGTCCCTGTCTGTCTGCAAACCCTCGGCAGCTGTCTTGCATTACCAGGTGTTGTTGGCAGCAAGTTGGATGGCAAAGTTACAAAGCATAGGTTAGTGCTAAGTGTTAAACCGTGCAGAATTTTGGCTCTGAAGACGTTCAGCAAAGAAAATTATGTTTTCATTGCTCAGAAAGCCATTGGTCAAAATCTCTTGTTTCTTTTCCTCTTTATTGCCTCCTCTCTGCAGCCACATTCCCCCACATCTGCATTCAGGCCAGGCATTTCTGGGTTTGTACAGTCTGTGGATAAAAGGCCTGTTGAGGAAATTCCCCATACACTTTGATTTTTTGCCACTTTACTTCCTGCTTGAACTGTCAGTTCCTAGAGTCTCTGAAGGTCTGAGGCTGTTTTCTCAAGGAAAGCTCTTAATTTAAGTGGCCTGTTAACTGTTAATTGCTGTTCTGTTCTGGCTATTTACTTGAATATCATGTCAAACCTGCTGTTCTGGTCTGGAGGCTACACTGGTTATCTGCTCTGATCTCTAAACTGCTACTGATTTCTGCCATGTTATTGAAGACCAAGGTAATATTTATTTTCTTAATGAAAACTGACATTTCCTCAGATTTAAGGATTTTGTTGAGCAAGCTGTCCCACTTGAAACTGCTTATACAATAATCTCAATTTTATGTCTGGTAAAAAAAAAGGCTTCCTTGAGACTTAAAATTAAAAGAATTTTCTTTCTGCTTCTTAAGTATGGATGTGTTTAGAGGAGAAAAACATTTAAAGCTGGGCAAAATAATGAAGAGTTGACAGGTAGGCAGTTAAAAGAGTTAGGTAGGAACTTGTGCTTATCAAACTACAAACACTGGTATGTTCAGTGTAAGCAAAGCTTGAACTTTTAATGTATGCTTACCGGGCTGATTGGAAGTTTGGAGAAGGTCATGTTATCTCCAGGGTTGTCTTGAGATCTCTGCAGTTAATGCAACACTGGCGGTGCCATTGAAATTCCATCCCTAGAAACAATTTCTTTCATTTAATGTGTTTAGTAAAGTTAGGTTCAGTTTTCTAGTAACTATAAAATCAGTGCCATATTTTGGCTCTTTGACTGGGATAGTCACACAGAAATGATAAAAAAATGCTAGCAGCATGGGTATAATTTTGTCTCAGACTGAAGAGAGCGTTAATGGGGCCGGTTCCCTTTTGATGAGCGTTTGTAGTTTTTTGATTAATGACAGTTCATTTGGGTATTGAGAGGAGACCTCTCCAATGATGCTGAGTCTGTTTCCCCGGTATGTAATAGAATGAAACTCTCAGGCTGTCGCTGGACAGTAAGATATTCTGACATGAATATATATTTTGGAGCTCTGCACAAAATGAGGATTTCATGCATAGGCAACACAGTGTGACAAGTCATATCCTGTGTGACCTTGTGCTTACAGTATAAAGTTGTGTAATAATATATTCTACTAAATTAATACACAAAATAAATAGAACATACCTCATGTTTATGCTAATAATGATATTTTTCAATTCTGAACACCTTTTATGATAAGACCTCAAAGTAAATTACAAGTAGGAGTAAACCAAGCTTCACAACACCGTTGTGAATTTTTGTATTATCGTTCAGAGACTAGTTGGAAGGTATCTTTCTTTATTAATTACTGTTATTTAATTTTCTGTTAATTATTGTCTGATTTGCTTACTTGCTGATACTGTTCTCTCTCCTAACACGTTAACCATAAAATATGATCTTATGAAACTGAAAGAAAATAAATATTTTAATTTCAGCCACAAGAATGGACAGATCTGTGAAGGCTAAGAAGAAAAATAATACCAACGTTGATTCCTCAAGGAATTAATAGAGATTTTGCTAGTAGGATGTATTTTATGTGTCTGGAACATAATGTAAATTTGGGATCGCTGTGATGTATGGTTCATCCTGTGGTGTAACTATAGGTGAAAGGCTGATAAGACTTTACAAATAGGTTAGATGAGAGAACAGAAGAAATCTGAATTGTTTTGTTTATTTCAAATGACAGAGGATAGGACTTCCAAAAGTACCTATTACTGGCTTAGTTCTACTGTCATTAATGTCAGTGGTAAAAATGCCATTTACTCGAATGAGAGCAGATGTAGGCCACTGATGAGTGCTTTTGCAATCCTGTCCTTTATGTTTGTGAGGTGTGAGTTGAGTCTTGCATTCCTGATACTCCAGCATGTTTCTTACAAACTTCAACAGAGGATTTTATTCTCTGTCATACCCCTGTATGTGGAGACAGAGTAGCACTTCTGGGATAAGAATCCAGCTTGTGATAAGCTTCAGTAGCTTCTTCACCATGGATGTCAGTGAGGTTGTATGGGCAGTCAATTAGAACAGAATTTACTCAAACTTATTAATTCACATTTACAACCTTAATTCCAGTTTAACACAATGTTTTGTGGTGGAACATTTACAGAAAGAGCATGTGGAAAAATTATCACTGCGTGTATTAAGCACAAAGAAAGCATCCCTATACTATTATGTAGGCGCAACTGACAAAACAGGACATATTACAAGAAACTATCTTTTTCATTAAGTCAGCACAAAATGAGGATTTAACGCGTGGGCAGCACAGTCAGTCCCAGTGGTTTAGTGCCCATAATCCCACCTAGAAAATGGCTTCACAATAATAATTACTGTTACAAAATGGACACAGCTTCCAATTTTGGCATGTCTACTTCACACATAACTAATTGCAGACACAGAAGGCAAGATCTTCTTGTACCAGCCACTTAGCTCCAGAAGTGCAGCTATGTTAACCTTCCCATAAGATTTCCAGCCTCATACTGACAACTCTCTGCTTTGCCTTATTTTACCACCAGAACGCAGAGCACGTGTGGCAGCCACCCTCACTTTGGCATGCTCAAACTATCCCTGGACATTAAGATACTATGACATGAATATATATTTGTGTGCTTTGCACAAAATGAGGATTTCACGCATAAGCAACATAGTGTGACGAGTAGTATC